GGGCTGAGTCCTTGTCAAACAAGCTTAACCAAACTATCTTTTAGAAGCTGTGGTAAGTACAGGGCTTTTAGCTACATAATTTTTTTCCCACAGATAGATAATCACGAACTTTCACTGAGGAATCCTATAAAGGCAGCACCACCTAGTGGTACCAAACCCACAGTAAAGTGGTTTCAGTGGTTTCCTTGAAGAAAATTGCACTGGAAACATAGTGGAAACTCTTGGATGAAATTATTTTTCAAATACCCACATGACATATCTATGTCTTTTTTTTAATTATTATTTATCAGAAAGAACATGAATACGTAATATTTGTGACCTCTTGGTATACATGTATGTTCTAAGTACCCTTTGAAAGGGGAAAAGGTAAGTGAAGGTATTAATCACAGAACATAAAGTATTTTTCTTTTTATTGTACATATAGAATAAAAATATATTTTAAAATGATCAGGTATTAAAATTGTTACTACTCACACCTTCCTGTCCAATTTTATTATTTATTACTGCAGGTATAAGATTTAGATGAAATCCTATATAGGAATAAGAAATATCTAGCAACTTTGGACCCCTTCTCTAGTATTTCCCAACACACATTCCAGTGAACAGCACTTTATCTTGCTCCAATATATACAGTCCATGACAGAGATGATCACTTTGCAAAAATCAGAAGGGTCCAGTGTGTAAGGCCAGTTGTCTTCCACAGAGACTGTATTGGCATATGTATTTACATCTGTGCTAAGTAGTTGTACAGTGCTGTGACTATCACTTGGTAGCATTTTAGATCACTCTACCATCTGCTTTTCACACGGCCCTGTAAATCCTCTACTGACACTTCAGGAGGTGAAAAACCCCCCTGTGCACCTGCCACCAGGGGAGACTGCCAGTGCAAACTGACATTGTTAGGAACACTGAGAAGGAGTGATTTCTTACAGCCCTCCCAAGTCTTTCTCTAGGCATACACAGGCGAAGTTTAGCATTACCAAAGATGTAAATCTTTAGTAATTATATGACAGCATTTTTTAAAGTTAGGAATATTATGTGACAACATAACACAGGAAGGAAAAATCTCAATGGTCAAAACCAGCAATGGCCTTTTTTTTTTTTCATATGGTGCAAACAGTACACACAAACTGCTCTTGCCTCATCCCATTTCTCTCAGCCTGCCCCATCCTACATGCAGTCCACAGCTCACCTCTCCAGTTCCTTAACTTTGATCTCATGTGATATTTGGTATAGCCCCAAAGCCTCCACTCTATGTGGCTCTCCCACTCCCCTCTCCAGTCCCGTGTGTCAGCACAGCTCTTCTGTTTCTAGCTGCAAATACATCACTGTGCCTATTTCTCTCATTTCACAGCTGTCAGGCACGTTACTCTCCATCTTCACAGACACATCACTGCTGTGATATTTAAGGAGCTCCTAAGTTTCTTTCACTACTGGCAAACAATTTTGTTGGTTTTGTGACTACTTCACCACTGACCTCATCGATTCCTTCCACACCTATGTACCTCCAAGACAGTAAGGAAAAACAGAGAACAGAGTGACTGAACACAGTAATTCTAGTTAAACGATCACTTTATGGAATTTTTTTTACCATGTTCCTTCATTTCATGGCTGGTTGGGGACATCTTTTAACTTTTTTTTTGTCTTCACCATGTCTCACAGTAAATTTATTCTAAGCTCTCCTTCTCCTGATGGCTTGAAACTTTCCACACCAGTTTATTCACTGCTACTGCTGATACTTGTTTTGGACAAGCATTGCCCTTTACCTTAAGGAGTAAACAAGTAAATACCTTAACTTGGGAGTATTTGAAGAGAACATTTGTGTCCTCTCGTAATACTCACTCTTCTAGACTAACTAGAGGAAAATTTTAGTCTCTTGCAGACATCCACATTTCCACTAACTGCTATTTAATCCAATTGGAAGGAGCTAAATCAACTCAGCAGAGTTTTGTGTCCAAAGAAAGAAGTTTTCCTCAGCCCATGGTTACATAGCTTCCAGACGTGCCAGGGCTTGATCTGCAAGCAATCCACAGGGAGGCAGAGCAAAAAGCATTGTAGCATAACCCTTCCTCCACTCACAGAAACTATTAACCTGATCATCTTAGTGTTTGCCTTATCTGTTCAAATCAAACTCCACCTTTCCTGAACACCTAAGCACACTGTGCATAGCACTTAAGATGCAGCATCTCTGATAGAGACTGGGCAAGAATAGCTGAGACTGCATCTCATACATCGTAGGCTGCATCTGTCATTTTTCCAACACACTTGCAGTTTCCAGTCACCTGTGATTCCCCTACACACTTCATTTTCAACTGCTGAGCTGCCCAAATAAATTGTTTTTATTCTCTACATACATATCTTTTGCAATTAAATTCCAGGCACATTTTTATTACATTCCAGGTTCTGGTTTTGTTGTTTTGGGTTGGCTTGATTTTTTCGTACTTTATGCTTTCCTTCTTTATATCACTAATCTCTTCCATGTATTAGTCAATTAATCAAAACATTAATATTAGCATCAGTCCTAGGGTATTGCTTTGCCAGTACCTTTCCTCCAGAATGACAGTACACTTAACATATTATCTCTCCTTCTGCCAGGTCATTACACACCTTAAATTCTTTTATGAATCCCCATCTTTTGTAGCTGAAGTAGTCATTTCCCATGGAGCAGTGAATCTTTCAGTTCAAGCCAACAAGTTAAAAACTCTTAAAATGCTAAAGAAAAATGCAATTATAAATAGTAATTAAAATAAGAACCAGAACTTAAGAATTCTGTATAAATATTTTATTATGTATAAAAGACAACTTACATGGACAGATGCTCTATTAGAACAAATTACAGGCTTTCTGTTTTCATGAAAAGATTAAAATGCTTCAAAAAGCATTTTTGAATGCCTCTTCCATCTCCTACAGCGATGTGTTACTTAGGGACTGATACCAAGCAGAAAATGTACTGCAGCATAGCAATGGCTGGTGCTTCTATGTGATGGAAACAGCATCTGTGTGATGCTGTGACAATGCAAAAGGAGAGCACCATAGGGAATCCCAATTTGGATTCAAGGCATGGTCTCTTTGTCCCCAAGTCAACAAAACCAGGCATAGTTATGCAGTTAAATACTCAATCCACAGACTTTTAAACAGACCTTTGCAAAACATCTCCTTTGGGATGTCAGCTGGCTCTGGCAAATACAACTCTCTTCATTTGATTTAAGATGGGGACAATTGAAAACAACAACAGGAAAGAAAAAAACAGAAAAGAGGGAATAATCTGAAGCCCTGGAAAACTGCATGAGAAGGCAAGCTTGGTGGAGGAAAACACCCTCCACAGATTACCTGGCTTTCTTACAGCATATCTATATGCTCAATGCAGGAATAACATTTTAAGGTCATGATGTAAGCATTTCATCCTCTCACAGATCAGATCAATTTTGTTTAGTGTTATGATTTTATATATGAGATCTGTACAAAGGAGATTTTGGTTTTATTTTGTCAAGACCTTGAAAAGGCACTACAAAAAGCAAGCAAAACACTACAACGACGTGGTTGCAGCAGTTAGCTATCTGGAATTTCACTTACACCATTAGAACTACAGTGTGTTATTTAATTTGTAACCTGTGACTTCTTATGTTTAGATAATCAAAGAGGTTGCCATTTAAAAACCATTTGCACAACTTTTGCTAACGTTGCACATAGGTGAAAAATTTATGATTGTCAGTATGTAAACTACCTCCCAAACAACAGTCAGAGCCTGACATGTAAACAGGTAACTATACATAATTGCATATGTATCACATTAGGATATGCAGGTTTGAGCCTTGTTCAAGGTATAACATGGACCCAAGGTATAAGGATGTTCTCAAAAATGAGAATGTAACGTTAGTGCAGTGATACTAAAGTTACCTAAAGTATCATGCAAGACAGACATAGTTAGTTGTCATAGGAAAAATAATAAAAATTTAAAAAAAGCCCACCAACCAAAACGAACTTTCAAGTGCCCACTCTTTGTATTAGACACTAGATAATAAAAAAAGAATCTCCAAATACTTCAGTAGTCACATTTCCATCCTGCAGAAGGCAACTGGCCTATTGGTTCAGCATGTTGAAATGGGAAGTTTCCAGTTCTTACTGTTGAAGAACTGTGAAGACAGTTAATAGTACTATTTTAATTAAATGATAACAATGTAACAACTACTTTTTATTATTTACATTTGGGTTTGGCATAATATTAGCTAGAACAGTGAAAGTGGCTTGTGCTTTGGTGATGAGGACAATGCCTGGATTCAACCTCTCCAATGTGACATTTAAGCTTTTGTTTTTAAGATTTTTATTTTTTTAAAACTACATAGAAACATTTAATGAGGATTATGTTTGGGTAAATTTTATATGTTCTGTTTTTTGAGTCTACATGAAGTGACATAGGTTGGATTTTTTCTATCCTTACTTTTCATATTACTGCATTAATTTTTTAACACACAGAGTAAATATTTTTACAGACAGGAGAAAAATGATCTCAGAATTTCAATGTTACATGGAATCTTCTAAAAAGCACTGGAGGACAAGGAACAGAAAAACACAAACTTATAAATGCAGATAATTTTCACATGTTGTATAGTAATCCCCTTGCTCTCAAATAGACTCACTGAGTAGTTGATGTCTATGACAAAGCAGCGTAACAAAACCACTGAATAATACTGACATGTCTGAATTTACTTTTGGTTGTTGGTTTTTTTTTAATGCATGTGTTGTTATTACTAGAAACCTTTCCAGGTAAAAGGAGATTCCCAGTGCAAGAAGGAATTTTGTCAATATGTATTTTCGTATGTGTAATTAACTATTACAGGAGAGGTAATTTGTCTTATGTACTGCTAGAACTAAGGCAGAACATAATACTTCATCATATTGCCAAATACCTACAGACCAGAGAACAAGCATGATTAAACATCCATAAGATGCAAGTCTGTTTCCATGAAAATCTGTGTAAGTATTGCCAAAATATTTGAGTCTCACTTTCTGTCAGAAAATCTCACATTGATGGAGCTTCCAGGAGTCAAAAGTCCGTGGGTTTTGGCATGGACTGGTTTGGTTTTGGGAGAAATTTGGATCTCAAAATTCTGAAGTAACTGTGGAGATAAACAGGACAAGTATTAGAAGAACTGCAAAATTACACGTGACGATTAGCCTTTGATAAAGAGAACATAATAGACTGTCACAAACAAAATTTGTGTTGCCAGTTTTGTGGAGTCTGAGTGCTCTGATTCCCATCCAGGAAAGAAAAAAAAGTTATTACAAGCTAAAGATTATTGTTCAAAATCTTCCTCCTCTGACTGAGGGGGGACTGAGCCAGTCCTTTCTGAAGAACTGCCACAAAACTAAATTAAACAATCTGAGCTATCAAAGAAACTAAAGTGTCTTTCAAACCTTTTCAGGTTCCTCTGTTTGTGTTTTTGATTGCATTTCCTTTAACATCAAACTATATGTGCAATTACAAAGAAAGCATTAGGAGTCCCAATCCCATCACACACATTTCTCTGCCTGGGCAGAAGGAAACAAAACAAAAAATGAGACAAAACCTGTCCAGTGCACCAAATGAAAGAATCCAGGAGTCAAAAATATCAGAACCTCTCCCAAACAGAATCACTATCATTCAATCACACAGGTTCTCTGTACATTAAACCTCTTAATGAAACTGAGAGAATCAGTTGCAAACATAAATCATTGTGCTGGTTTTGGTTGGGGTAGTTAATTTTCTTCACAGGGGCTAGTATGGGGCTGAGTTTTGGATTTGTGCTGAGCACAGGGTTGATTATATGGAGATGTTTTTGTTACTGCTGAGCAGAGGTCACACAGAGCCAAGGCTGCTTCTGCTTCTCATACTGCCATGCTGGCAAGGAAGTTGAGGCTGCATGGAAGGCTGGGAGGAGACACAGCTGGGACAGGTGACCCCAACTGACCAAAGGGATATTCCGTATCATATCACATCATGCTCAATATATAAAGTGAGAGGAAGAAGGAGGAAGGGGAGGATGTTTGAAGTGATGGTGTTTGTCTTCCCAAGGAACCATTATGCGTGATGGGGCCCTGCTCTCCTGGAGACAGCTGAACACCTGCCCGTGGGAAGCAGTGAATGAATTCCTTGGTTTGCTTTGCTTGTGTGCTTCATTTTGTTTTGCTTTGCTTTCCCTGTGAAACTGTCTTTATCTCAACCTACGAGTTTTCCAGCTTTTCCCCTTCCAAGTCTCTCCCCCATCCCAGTGGTGGGAGAGTGATCCAGTGGCTGTGTGGGGCTTTGTTGCTATCTGGGGTTAAACCACAACAATCATGGGCTAAAACAAACTTTAAGAGATGTATCTCACCCATTTTGAAACTGAACAAAGAATACCTCAGCTATGTATTTTACACTTGCAAGAGGGAAATAATGCAACATCCTCAGCTTATACTAATATTAAACCTCAAACACTTTTTCCTATAAACTACGTAATCTTCTCTTATCCTTCTCCCAGTAAGCATGATGAACAATGCATTATTTTGCTATACGTAATTATGTTATGTTTCGGTGTTAGATGTTTGATGAAATTTTCATCTAATTCTTCTCTTTTTCAACCCCCTCTTTCTTGTTATTCTCTTTGTCTTCCAAATTTCCTCTAACTTGACTAAATTGCCCTTCAAATGCAGTGCACAGGGTCTGTCATGTATCATTTTCTAGCTAAGAATTCATCCACGTTTGGTACAACTGAGTAATTTAGCTCCTGTTTCTGACATACAACACACTTGCTAGTGCTGTTAATATACCCTGGACTCATACTACCTTGTTGGAATTAGCATCATCGTTGTTGACCAGTTTTTCCCTCTATCCCTCCAGTCTCTCTCTGTGGTACATATTACTCAGTCAGTTGGTCAGAAATTTGTATTTATGCATTTATTTTTTCTCAAGATCAGTAACTTGCAATTGTCCTTAGTGAATGATTTGTGTTGATTCTTAAACATTTCTCCATTTTTTTAATAATTCTATATTCACATCCCCTAATTTTAAATTCATTCATGTCAGTTTGGTATCCAATGCAAACTAACAGTATTCTCTAATCCATCATTTACACTGTTAATGAAAATACCAACCTAAATCAAATGCAGCACAGACTTCTATAGAATTTTAATTAAATGCTTTCCCAGCTCAACAGCAAATATTTGATAGCTACTGCCTCCAGCTATTTCCTTTTTCTAGCCAGCTGTGCATGGATTTTATAGGTACTTCCATCTGGAACAAATTTTGTTAATTTAATTGTGAGAACAACGTACAGAACATGTGAAAATACTTCCTGAAGCCAGAGTACACAACTTATTTTATACCCTCCACATCAGGTAAGTGATCAAGTCAAAGAAAGAAATCAAACTGATTGCAAATGACTTCTCTTTGATGAGCTTCATGAGCTTCTAATTTTAAATCACTTAAATATCATCACGATGTCTGTAAATAGCTTGTGTGATACTTTCTTCTAGTTTCTCTCCAGGAAACAAAAGCAGGTTCTCCATTGCTGCCTGGAGTCTCCTTTTCAAAAAGTTGCAATGATGTTTATTTTATCCAACCCCCTGAGAGCTTTCTCAGTTCCAAAGGGCAGGTGCTAATTGCTCAGAGATTGCTCCAGGAGTTTACTTAAGGAAATTCAAAGGCAAATTCAATCAAGCTTTGCTTTGAATACATACAAAGGGTCTAAATATTTTTATAATTAAGTAACTACAGTGTCCAAACCTTTTGAGTTTTGATTGCACATCTGACCTCATTACTTGAGCTAAATGTTGTCTTATAAAGGACAAAAAATGCAGCAGCTCTTGGGAACAGTTTCCTTATGGTATGAACCAATGGAAAACAATATACATCAATATGTACTAACTACTTACATACTATAATTTATGTATATCTAAAATTGTAATAAAGATAGAAGAATGAACAAGAAGGAACAGAAAACCATGGAACATAGAAAAATTCTACTATTTGTTGTCACATTGTGATCAGTACAAGGATAAAATCTGTTTCACATCTTTGGAAGAACTGAATCCTTCTAACTAAAATACCAAGACTGAGCAGGGAACTGTTCTATTGTACATTAAGAAAGACTTTCAATTCACTTACAAAAACCTTCTGAACCAAAGCCAGATATGTCCTTAACAATCTTACCTTTAGTTTTACTTCATGTGTAGGAAGGAAAAGATTTTTTCCTTCTGCAATGCAGTTTAACTATTATGCTACATTTGAAGCATGATTATTTTCACATTTTTAAGCCTTTGCAGGATGAGTACATTAGACAACACTCCAAAACAAAGGTTTTGAGCAGTGCAAGATACCCAGAAATGGTACACATAGAAAAAAATCATACCAATTTATTATTCTTCTTTCAAGGCTGTCACATAGTTCTAACCTGTATCAGTGCAAGATGAATTTCCAGCTCTGCAATTCTTTTTCCTATACAACTTCGAATGCCATAACCGAAGGGGATGGAACCAAAGTTGTCCACTCTGTCCAAATTATCCTTCCTCAGCCAACGCTCAGGTCGGAACTCATTTGCCATTGAGAAATTTTCTTCGCTGTATGAAGTAGTGTAGTGACAAAGTGCCAGCTGTGTCTGAGGGGAGAAATTAGTTTCTGTTTAGCTAACTCTAATACACATAACAACATAAAAAAGCATTTGCAATTACTGTAATTTCTGCAATATGTTGCGATAAAAATTAAGTCTCTTTGAGTAATTCTAGAAGGAAAAAGGATACCTAGAAAATCAAACCCCTTTCTCAGCAGGTCAAATGAAATTATCATCAAATTGTTTTCAGTGTTGCTGGATATATTAGAGAAGAGTCAGTGGAGAAGGAGATCAGAACAAAAGTCACAAGTACTGGGAATTGTTTCAAAAAGATGGTATGAGG